CCCTTCTCTAAACCAATCCCCTTCAAGCCTAATCTTATATGTTTTCCTTACTTACAATACCCTCTTTCTTTCCTGTCCATCGCTATGAAGACTCAATTGAAGTTAGTGCTACCCTGTGAGTGACAAGTTAACAAAAATGTTGGTCTGCTTACATCACCCCTTCATCTCAATTCCTGCTGGAGTTTATGTTTGGGAATACAGTGTGAGTTGACTATTCAGCTACTCTTTAAAGTCCATTTAATGTGTAAACCTGGTATCTCCCCAGGAAAGATTCTTGCACAAGTAGTATATATTTTTCTTAATTTTTTTTGTCAATGTCCTCCAGCCAAAGACTACCAGGATCACAACTATAGTTTAACAAGTTGGATTTATTGGTACTTGTGATGAGCACCTCATGGGAACTGTGGAGTCAGGACGAACTCAACGAACACTCAGCATCCCCACCAGTCAGGATCTGGATGCTGGGAGTAATGTTGTCTTCATAAACCTTGAATAGAGACTTAAGATGTCATTGGTAAAGAAGCATCAGCCACTCAGAGTAACCAGGAGAGGGGGGATATTTGATACTTTTGTGATTTCCATAGTGACCTTCTTTTGTTTGTCCTCAGGTATTTGATACTTTTGTGATTTCCATAGTGACCTTTTGTTTGTTCTCAGGTAAAATACATACTGGTCTTTTTTATGTCTTGCTCTGTCACAGTCACAGAATGATACTGACTTTGGACAAGCAGGACATTCACATGGCTGAGACCCTCATTTGGACTTTTAACCTACAGAACGATGAGAAAATAAACGTCTGTTCTTTGTTGTTTTTACTGGGTACCACTCAAGTAGATTCCAATTCCTAGTGATTCCGTGTCAAGGAGAACCGCCCCATTTGGTTTTCCTAGACTGCCATCTTTATGGGAGCAAATCACCAAGTCTTTTCTCCCTACAGCAGCTGGGGAATTTGAACTGCCAACCTATCTGTTCTTTAAAGCCACCCATTTATGATACTTGGACTCCTAGTGTAGCACTGTAGGATCAGTACTGAACTGCAAACTACAAGGTTAGCAATTCAAACCTACCAGCTGCTCCTCAGAAACCCTATACAGGGTTGCTATGAATCAGAACTGACTAGACAGCACTTAACAACAGCAATTGTGAACTTTGTGTTATAGCAGCACTAGGTAGGTAAGACGGCACCAACAGTTGCATAGTTCATGATGAACTTCTTGTTGCTACTGTTAAGTGCTGTCCAGTCAGTTCTGACTCATAGCGACCCAGTATATAGGGTTTCCAAGGATCAGCTGGTGAGTTTGAATCGCTGACTTTGTAGTTCAAAGCTACCTTGCAGTCCTGTGCTTTATCCTACAGTGCTACACTGGGACTCCAGCCAGTGGTCTACTGACACAGATGCAGAGGCAGCCCTAGCTCATTAGGGATCATAGGCACCAAACTATGCCATGTGCTCAAATCCTCCAGCCCTCACCAAGTCATCAGACGACTATAAACAACATGTTGACTAGGTTAAATTGCTAACCCACTGAAGCTGAAAAAATAAATGTTTATTGTTTGGACAACATTCAACCATTTCCAAAGATACCATATGACCAAGACTCGATGGTATGGAAGGAAGAAGTGTAAGCTGCACTGTAGTCATTGGTGAAAAACAAGTCTCCAGGAATTGAGACTATCAATTGAACTGCTCCAACTAATTGACGTAGTGCTGGAAACACACACTCATCTATACCAAGAAATTTGAAAGAGAGCTATGTGGTCAGCCCACTGGAAAAGATCTATATTTGTACCTATTTCAAATAAAGGTATTCAAACAGAATGCAGAAATTATGGAACAATATTATTAAAATTGCCCACAAGTAAAATTTTGCTGAATATAATTTAAAAATAGTCACAGCAATACACTGAAATTTACATTGGTTTCAGAAGAGCATGTGGAACAAGGAATATCGTTACTTAAATCAGGTGGACCTTGGCTGAATGAAGAGAATTCTAGAAAGATGTTTACTTGTGTTTATTGATCATGCAAAGACATTCAATTGTGTGGATCATAAAAACTATAAATAACATTGTGAAGAATGGTAATTCCAGTGCACTTAATTGTGGTCATATGGAACTAGTACATAGACCAAGAGGCAGTCAGTAGAACAAAATGAGGGAATACTGAATGGTTTAAAATCAGGAAAGGTGTGGATCAGGGTTATATTTTTTTCACCATACTTATTCCATCTGAATGCTAAGCAGATAATCTGAGGAGCTGGACTATGTGAAGAAGAACTTGGCAATAATACAGCCTTCAATGTGGACCACATTACGATGTAAAGAAAACAAAAATTCTCACAACAGAACCAATAAGTAACATCATGATCAAAGGTGAAAAGTTGTTGTCAAGGATTTCACTTTACTTTAGTATCAATACCCTTGGAAGCTGCAGTCAAGAAATCATATGACTTAGTTGCATTAAGCAAATCTGTTGCAAAAGACTGCTTTGAAGTGTTAAGAGCAAATCGTCAAAGATGTCACTTTGAAGACTAAAGTGTCCCTGAACCAAACCCTAGTATTCTCAATTACCTTATATGCTTGTGAAAGCAATGATTAAGGAAAACCAGAGAAGAATGGATGCATTTGAATTGTAATGTTGGAGAAGAACATTTAAAGTACCAAGGACTCCCAGAAGAATCAACAATTCTGTCACTGGAAGGCATACAGGCAGAATATTCCTTAGAAGCAACCTTGATGAGCCCTCATAACACATACTTTGGCCATGTTATCAGGAGGGACATCATGGAGAAGGACATCATACTTGTAAAAGTGGAGGGTCAGCAATAAAGAAGACCTCCAAGAAGATGGATTGCCTAAGTGGCTACAACAGTGGATTCAAACATAGCAACAGTTGTGAGGATGGTGCAGGATTTGGCAGTGTTCCATTCTGTTATACAAGGGTCCCTATGAGTCAGAACCAACTTGAGTGCACCTAGCAACGACAACAACAATGTTCTGGGGCAATTTGTTATTCAGCAACAGATAATTAAGCCATTATTTAGGTTAAGTCATTTTATCACAGATTAAGTCATGAAGATGAGGGTGGGGGGAGTGGAAAAGAGATGGATACAACTTAATGGAAAGTCCCTGCCTGACAAAAAGAAAAAGTACAAGAAAATCCCTTCTGGCCCAGGGGATTATGGGAAAGCCAAGAGATACAAATACGGAGTCAGGTTGCTGTCTTGGGTTTAATGTCTTTGAGTAGACGTTCTCTCAGATAGATTGCAGGAACAGTAAAGTTCCTTTTTGGAATTATAGAAGAAGAATGTCTCTTAGGGTGTAACAACCCTAGGCTTTCAGTTCTCAAGGGATGTGGAAAAGACCCACAAGTGCCCACAAGTCCTCAAGGGAGGAAGAGCTCTCTGAGTATCTGACTGGGAGCTTCCAGAGAATGTTGTCATTATGGCATTAGGGCTTAGTGACCCCAACCAGGGTTAAATAGGAGCTACGGTCAGTCTTCAGGAGTACCGCAGCACCAGGAAGAGCTGTTGTTGTTGTTGTTGTTGTTGAGTGCTGTCGACTCTATTCCAACCTATAGCGACCCTGTATAGGGTTTCCAAGGAGCCGCTGGTGAGTTTGAACCACTGACCTTGCAGTTCAAATAGCTTTGCAGTCTGGCACATTAACCCACAGCGCCACACCAAGAGCTGAGGAGGATCCAAATCAGCAGGGAGTGCCATGGAGCCCACTGAGGCTGAGAGGAAGCATGACTCAAGGTAACAGAAGTTACAAAGCTTAGCACCAAATGTCCGCAAAACACCCAGGGACCGGAAAGACCCACCACACGTATCAGGACTAGTAGGAACTCACAAGTCCCCACTTAGTTTCTATATTTGAAACCATGCAGACCTCTAAGATACCACCTTGAAGAGAACAATAGTGAGAGGAGAAGGGGGAAAAGAATGAAAGAGTGAGCCAACCAAAAGAGACAATATTCCTGACATCATTCAAAGTATTTGGTTGGACTGAATTCATCTCATCCCTTACTCCAGTGTCTCATGGGATCTGTGAGTGGGACTTGAGAGGAAAATCATGTCAGTCATAGAATGAGATGACAGTTTAGGGTCTATCTAAATCTAGCATGATTTAATATGTGATTCCAATTCAGATGCTATAAAAATACATCATAAAGATTTATGGACGTTCACAATGCGGTTTTGTGTTGGTTCTGGAGAATGCAAACCAGAGGGGAGGTTAAAAACGATCTCATTCCTCTGCCTGTGCCTAATCTGGTGTCACCACATCCCTGCTCCTTCAGCCAGTGACCCACCAACCTCCCAGGGTGGTATGGGAAAGATGACCATGGCTTTGTCAGATGCATTATTTGGGAATTCTAGCTCATGGCTCTATTTTAAAAGGGTTGCCACCAGTCATTGGCCCCAATATACGTAGTACAGAGAAAGAGCATGCAGGAATCAGAGCACACGGATTTTGTAGGTCAGAAGGTAACCCTCGTTTTATTAAAATATGTACAGGGGTTTGGGAGGGAAAAGGACTACGTTGAACTGTGGCAATGTACAAAAAAGCATGCACCTCCTCTAAGCTCTACCATCTTGCAAGTGGCTCTTTGGAACTTGGTTTGGCTTGAGTCTTGGAAGTGGTCTCATGAGGCCTAGTTCTTTCTTGGTAACCAGAGCTGACCATGACAATGGCACCATTGAAGGATGGGGAAGGCCCTCAGGCCAGTTGAATAAGGAGGTTTTCTTTGCTATTCATATTATCTTTTTGAAAGCCCTGGTGTCTTATAAATGCTTTGTCCAAATGTTCAGGGACATAGTGGCTTACCAGAAGCCAGTTTCTACTCAACCTCTGTTGAGTTTTGGCCCTGAAATCAGAAGCTATGGCACAGCCAAATTCACAGGCAAAATCGCACCGCAGGCCAATACTGCCTCAGGCAACACACGTAGCTCCCACATCCTGGTGGACGTCTGAGAAAGCTGCTCACGCAGGCCTGAAGCTCATTTCATGTTTCGCTCGATCCAGTCTTTAAAAGGCAGCACCTTGGTGAAGGCTGTGTAGAGGCTACGGCTGCATGTTTTATCATAACTCCAGCTGACCAGTCCCACCAGGTGCCAGCGAGGTTCAGGCGATGCCCGTCCCGGGAAGGACAGTGCTGCGATGCCCCCTGTCTCTGCCAGGCAGATGTCAGAAGGAGCGGTGGGGTCCTGGCTGGCACAGAACATGTTATCTGTGACACTCACTGGGATGCCATGGTCTTCATGCTGCTCCTCACACAACAGTGAGTCCACCACACTGACCACCCCTGAATGCAGTGAGTCATTCTTGAAGCCGGGGGTCCTCACATCAGCCAGGATGTTCCAGCCAGCCACGGTGATGTGGGACTCCTGAAAGGAGGTGGTGAGGTCACGAGTAGCTGCTAGGCAGATGGGCTGCACTCGGGTGCTGATGCGAGCCTTGTCCAGGAGTTTCAGGATGGCCATGTCAGAGTCCAGCAGGATGGGATCATAGTTGGGATGTAAAATGACAGCAGAAATCTACAAATACAAGGAATAGAGCCAGGGTGAACAGCCAACTCCACAATGGACAAGAATAGGCCAGCCCTGGGGTTATCAAATTATCAGGAGAAAATGTCTAAGAGACAGCTGTAATTATTTGGAGATACTCTGCTCAAAGGGTTGTAGAAAGTAAGTACTCTAGTTCCAAGGTTGGAAGCTGCTGTGTCTACCAGGACCTGGAAGGTGATGCTGAATAAAAGGAATGGACAGTCAGGGGAGGGGAGGCAGAGCACAGGCTCACACACCCATCTAAGGTAGGTAGCACGCCATGTAGAAAAGTGGGACCAGGATCCTAATGGTGTCAGAGAGCCTAGGTCTCCACGTGGCTATCTGAAACTTCCTGGTTTTGAAATGTTGGCAAACAACTGATTAAAAACATTATGTTGGTGCCATCAAATCGCAAACCCTTGAAGACTACCAGCTTTGAATTTCTGGTCCTCTGTGATCACTTCAAGCCAGTAAGATGGTGCTACACCTAGAATGTTCCATACAACTTCTCCAAAACTTCGTTCCCGATTGTCCCAATCCTTGCTGATCATTCACTTTGAAGGAGGCTCCTAGAAGCTAACATCTGTGGTACCCTGTATTTTGTTTCTGTTTGTTCAATTATGCCAACTACATTTGGATGCATTTACCTGGGCTTCTCTGGTGCTGCATTGATCTCAATATACGGGCCTGTCTCACAGGACTGCAAGTGCTCCAGGGAAAAACTAGTATTAGTTTCCTTTGTCTACCTATTCTCAGTGAGTAATGTGAATCACATTAGGATTATGGGCGCCCAATTCTGTATGAACGGATAGATGGATGGATGGATGGATGGATGGATGGATGGGAGACAGGGAGGGAGATAAGCAAGGAGGGAGAGAAGGATATTATATATTGATTAGAATTATCTTGGATAAAAATCGATGTCCTAAGTGTAACAAGAGATTAATATATAAGGAGGTATCTTTGTCTCAGCCCTATTTTAAAAACAAAGAGAAAAGACTCCATGATCAGTCTAAATGGCCCTTCCTATTATCTGTCACTGGAGTCCTGGTATGGTGCTGTGGGTTAATGCACCAGACTGCAAAAACTGTTTGAACTGCAAGATCGTGGTTCAAGCTCACCAGCTGCTCCTCAGAAACCCTATACAGGGTTGTTATGGGTCGGAACTGACTCGGTGGCACTTCACAACAGCAACAACATTATCTGTCAATATAGCATATTGAGTGCACATCGTATGCCAGACTCTGGGCTGGGTGCTAAATGAAACACTATGGTGAGAGGAAAGCCTCAGTCATTATTCTCACAGTGCTTAGAGTTTGTTATGCTAAGACCCAGTTTCTTGGTTTCCAGCCCTCTCTTACCCTCAAATTCTGGATTGTCTTCTCATCCCGGTCATCATCCCTGTAGAATTTTCCCAGGACAACTTTGAGGTCAGCTGTCTTGATCACAGTGACTTTCCCCAGGTCAGTGACACAGTGGGCAGCAACTACCACCGTGCGCTCATTCACCAACGCACCACTGCACACCAGGAACCAGGCACCCTTGTGCAGACTGCCCCCGTGCACCCCGCTGGTCCTCCTGTAGATGGCCGCTTGCCATGGCCAGCGCGTGCCCTGGGTCTTGGAAGCAGTGATGTTCTCAATTTTCCCACAGACTATGGAGAAAGCACAGACACAGTAAGATAAATTCAGATCTTCCCTATCCAAAGAGAAACGTGTTGCTCACTCAACCAGGAGAGCACAAATCTGGGCAGGTGGGCTAACTGCTCTTTATCCCTTTTCTTAAAATATTAATCATCCACCTTGATGTGGTCTAGGGTTAAAACACAAGGCTTTGCAGTCAAATGAAACCTGGTTCCAATCCCAAGTCTGTACTTCATTATCAGTTGGATGTTGGGCAGTTGTCCAATGTTTTAGAACCTAACTTTTCTTGCCTGTAGAGTATATTTAGTAATAGCAATTGCTTCAGATGGTTCTTAATGAGAGTCAATGAGATGATGCATCGAAATATTTAGCAAAGTCTGGCCGTTTTGTTCACCTTTGACAAAGAGAATGAGACAGGTAGCTTAGTATGTATGTGCAAGAGTTTCTTCCAGGTAGAAACTCGCCTCAGCCTTGGCGGTGGCAATTATAAGTCGTTGGGTTGGTTCTGACTCATAGCAACCATGTATAGGGTTTCCAAGTCTTTATGGGAGCATAAAGCCTCATCTTTCTCCCACCGCCATAGCCTTTACTATGGAGTCGGTTCCGACTCATAGTGACCTTGCACAGGGTTTCCGAGGCTGTAAATCTTTACAGAAGCAGAAAGCCTCATCTTTCTCCGATGGAACCACTGGTAGTTTCGAACTGCTGACCTTGAGGTTGGCAGCCCAAGTCGTAACCACTACGGTACCAGAGCTCCTTACCTTATGAGGCAATTAATATTATCCCCATTGGATAATAAGTATGAAAACTAGGGTAAAGACAGGGTGACCAAGATCACAAATCTTGGTCCTTTACTTCCTTTTACACCAAGTGTTTAATGATTGTTCTTTTTTTTCCCCTAAATAAATCCCACTATCAGGAAATGTTCTGATAGAATTATAAACGGAAAATATGCTCCGCCCTCCAAAAAAAGAGATCTAATGATTAATTTCTTCTGGAAATTAAATTTAAACACCCCAAAAAGGAATCCTAACTGTGGAATTCTACATAGCACCAAGCAAGGGAACAGTAGAGGACGATTTTCTTTTGGCAAGGAGCCCTTACCAAGAAATCTTCCACAAGGAGGAATGACGTTTTACAGACAGCCAAGCAAGATGGAATGGAGTTCTGGTGTGGCACTGTAGGATAAGCACCAGCTGCTAACCATAAAATCAGTGGTTCAAACCCACCAGCCACTCCTCAGAAACCCTATGCAGGGTTGCTATGAGTCAGAACTAACACAACAGTACTTAACAACAAGAAGAAGCAAGATGGAAGCTGTTCCCCGGAAAAGATGAGCCTCTACTCACTAGGGATGCAAGACGGAGCCCGCCCACTCCACTTCCCAGTCTTCAGACAGGTCCTCCGACTGCTGCCCAGGCGGCGGTAGAAGGGAGAGATGCATTCGTACTGGAGCTGGGTGTGCAGATGTTGGTACCCGGCAGGCAGGTCTCCAAAGGGAAGAAGTGGCTTCTTGGTAGGGACACCCTGCAGTTTCTGCTTGCTGAGTGCTGATGAGTACAGCTGGTGTAACGGTGTCTCCCTGAGTGAGGTACAGGGGCCCAGATAAAGCAGAATACGAGACAGACATTCTGACTCCTTTAGCATCCTTGTCAATCCTCATGTAGATATTTGGATACAGAAGAAGAAGACAATGTCTCTCTCTCTGTCTCTCTCTGTCTCTCTGTCTCTCTGTCTCTCTGTCTCTCTGTCTCTCTCTCTCTCTCTCTCTCTCTCTCATATACACACGCTCTTCCAGTCTACCACAGCCAACTCTCGTAATTCTCTTACATGCCTCAGCCTTCATTTTATTTCCTAATTTCCATTTCTGGCATCCCTCCAGCTACCTAGGATTTTAACCAAAGAGGATATTATCTGGTATAATAGCTGTTATCCCAAAGTATGCTGTACATGCACACAAAATGAATTCATTGTGAAATTATACCTGAAAGGGAGTTAATTTAGAGTAGAGAAATCCAGGCATATATTTTTTTCTAAATATTATCATAATGGGGTAATATTAGGAATTGACTTGAACTAAACTGTGTTGATACAGTAGCTTGATTTAGCAATTAGCGATATAATTAGCACACCTCAGAGAATAGAATTTTCTCTCAGGGCATATTGATTGGTAGAAATCTAGAGTTTGTATGTAAATGTGAAAAGAGGAATTAAATGAACTTGATGCTAAAGGCCCCAGGGACTGCTTGGGGACTCTTGGGGGAGACTTAGGTATGTTCTACAGCTCAAGTTCATTTTATATTGGTGCTTAATGACTGTGAACTGGAAAGTTGGAATTTCTTTAGGAATTGGTACTTTCCATAGTGTTTAATGGGTGGAGACAAGGAAGCACAGAGAGGTAAATTGGTGTTCTCAAGCACCCACAGCAAGGTAAAATAGTACCCAAGACAGAGCTTAGCAACCATGGTTACCACCCTGCTGTCTCTACCACATCAAGTTGATTATCATCTTAAGAAATCTGTTTTATGTATCTACACAGTACTTTACTAAAAGCAAAGATTCCATCCACATGGATTTTATTCAACAGCTTTAGCTCGCATTTAGTGCCAGTTCTACAAATGAGTTCATCTCCTAGATGTTGAGGGTCTAACTGTCCTGGTGGGATGGCTCCTAGCTGCTGGAGATCAGCAGACCCCACTCAAGCAACCCATCTGCCTGAAGGATACCTAACACCAATTTCTGAGATTGTTTTCCTATCCACATGAAACAGCTGGTACCTAGTAACACAGCTTCCAGTTCCAATTGTTTTAAAGTCAAGAAGGCTTCTGGTCTTTTTAAATAGGTCAGGGGCTCCTCTACAACACTTCTCTCCACAGGAAGACTAGGTTTGCTCCGCTTAGTGGAGAGTCCAGCCCAGGTAAATCAGGAAGATCCGAAAAGGGGGCAGAATTGGGATTCCACAGCCAGTACTTCAAGGAAATGCCTTGCTTGAAAAGGTAAAGACAAGAAAGGAAAGACATACCTGGAGACGATGAGAGAGGCATTAATTACACTTCTCCTGACCAATGGGTTTTCCAGGCTACTTGGTTGGGGTCAATTCTAGCTACTGGAATTCATGGTTACTACTTCTCACAAGAAGTTAGTTCAAGCCTAGTGCATACGAGAGGAGACACTGGATTTCCGTGTTGGCTTTGCAACATGACCCTGAGTAAGTTACTTAGCATATCTGCACCTCAATCTACCCCTCTCCTAAAATGGTAATAATGCTTGTAACTACCGCTGAGAAGATAGCAAGGATTAAATGAACTAATACATGTAAGGACTCCTGGTGTGGTACTATCAGATAAGCACTGGACTTTGAACCACAAGGTCGGCAGTTCAAACCCACCAGCTGCTCCTAGGAAACCCTATACAGTGCCGCTATGTGTCAGAATCGACTGGATGGCACTCAACAACAATACATGTAAATCCCTCAGAAGGGCAGTTGGCACAGAGCAAACAATGAATGTTAACTCTTAGTATTACATTTAATTTTTACAGCACTCCTCAAAGACAGAAGTTATTATGTTTATAGCCATTTTTTTCAAAAGGAGAAACTAAGATTAACCAAGTTTAGGAATTTGCCCAAGAATATGCAGCTCTAGAGAGAAATGAAACCAGTTGAGTAACATTCATTTATCAAGCCAAGTTGTTCATTCAGTCTATTCACTGAAAGTTTGCTATGTGGCAGTCATTGTTCTAAGCACTGGAGATTTATCACAAATGAAACAGATCATGTTCCTGTACAATGTGGAGGACAGGAGGTTGGGAGGGAGAAATTAAACAAACAAACAAAAAATGTATATAAACAATAGGTGGTAAAGAATGCTGAGAATGCAGAAGCACGTAGTAAAAATTGGAGAAGGCTGGATAGCGATGTCTGCTCAGTGGTGACAGTGCTGTCTTTAAAAGGGCCCTCAGGGAAGGCCTCTCTAGCAGACGCCAATTGAGCAGATGAGCAGAGAAGTAAAGGAAGTGAGGATTTCAGTCTTGTTAAAGATGTAAATGGTGGAAGCATGTTCTTGGCCAGGAGTTGGAAGAGTAAAGGTTCTGAAATAGAACTGCTGGAAGAGCACAGAAAAAACAAAGGAGTTTCAGTGTTTGGAGTGGGGAGCACAAGGAGGAGCACAGTAGGAGATAAGATCAAAACAGTATTTTCTCCAAAACAAGGAGAGGACACGTATAGGTGGATCTAGTCTCTCACAACCAGATGGCCCTCATCTCTGGTTTTCTAGGAGAAAGTCTGAACATACTGGGGGCTCCCACCCCCCTATCATGGCTAGTTGTTTATCTCTAATTCCTGCCTCACCTAACTGGTTACTACCAAGAATATCTTCCTAAGCCCTCTCCAGTTCTCCAGTTGCTACTGAGTCAACACCAACTCATGGCGAGCCCACGCGTATCAGAGCACAGTGCTCCATAGGGTTTGCAGTGATTGATTGTTTTGCAAATAGGTCACCAGACCTTTCTTGTGAGGCACTTCTGGGTGGACTTTAACAGTCAACCTATTGGGTATCAACTGAGCATATTAACCACTGGCATCATCCAGGACTCTCCTAAATCATAGCTGGCTGCTGCATTTGGTAGGAATCCCATCTCTTTAAGAGTTGCTATATTAAACATTTCAGGAAGACTCAAGTATTAAAATCCCATTCCTCAAAGATCATCTTAAAATTCTGTCTCCTACCAACCTTCTACTTTCCCATGAACTGAGGACATTTGTACATTTTCCAAACGTTGTTACCTCTTGGCTAAAGGCAGTCACCTAATAAGCCTCCACCAAACAGGCCCTATTCTCTCATAACTAGTCAGTACTGAATGTCCCTAGGAAACTCCAGACTGTCTTTGGCCAAACACCAACAGAAAAAGTGGACGGAAGGGAAAAGATTCATTCACTTTTAAAGCAGAGTTAGATGTTTCAACCTCACCTTGATTGAACCTGCATTGGAAGAACTCTCCGTCTCACCAGGTCTGAGATCTTCGGTTCTCTGCAGGCTAGAATAAAAGACAGTGCTGCTTAATCCTTTTCTGTATTTACTGTTCACGTCTGTCCATTCAGATTCATACCTGATCACCCTTCTGGGGAACCTACTATACATCCCCCCAGGTTCTCAGAAGAGATACATGCCAGTCAAGTTTGGATAGCTCACTTAGAAAAGAGCATTTTGCCTTTCACCTAAGTTGCATTTATGTAAACACCTGTGAGGAGAGGAACTGGCCAGCTCTGGGTGATTTAAGCAAATGGTAGTTGATAGATGAGCATTATCTATTTACATCAATAAAGTCCTGGTGTGGTGCTGTGGGTTAACGCACTGGACTGCAAAGTCGGTTTGAATCACAAGGTCAGTGGTTCAAGCTCACCAGCTGCTCCTCGGAAACCCTATACAGGATCGCTATGAGTAGGAACCAATTTGATGGCACTTAACAACAACAACAACATTCACATAAATAAGGAGCTCTAGTAACGTAGTGGTTATGAGTTGGGCTGCTAACCTTAAGGTAAGCAGTCTGAAACTGCCAGCTGTTCCTTGGGAGAAAGATGAGGTTTTCTGCTCCTGTAAAGATTTGCAGCCTTGGAAATGCTATGCAGGGTCGCTATGAGTAAACACTAACTCCACAGCACACTGCTACCACCACCTTTCACATAAATAGCATTAGCAAACTTGATCAACATCAAAGTGAAGTTTCTAAAACGCAGCCCAACGTAAGGGATTATTTTGCTATTTGAATCTAGACAGCAGTATCCACCATAGGCAAGTACTTGAGTTCTTCATGTCCTTTCGCTGCAACTAAGATCTCTGACGATCATTTCAAGGCAACTCAAAGCACAGCTGAATTGTGTTCAAGTTTCTTTTTCTTCACAAATGAAAAGAACTCCTTCCCATCTCATTTTCCCAATCAAGCAGCCAACAGTCGCCTAATTAGCAAGTAAAGAGAACTTTGGCGGTATTAATTTAAAAGGGAAGAACTGACAAAAATCTCCAAGTATGTATGTAACACCATTTCCATATTTCATAAAATCAAGAATTAAGAGTCTACACTTGTGGCAATGAAGGCTACTTCTGGCTAAAATCTGAAATGACTGAATCCCTCTACAAATCATTCTCTTTCATTCCTTTACCAATGATTCAGGTTGCTAGAAAACACGGAGAAGGGAAGGCAATTATCTGACTAATCTAGGTCAAGGACATGCTGGTCATTACAGAAAGCAGATCATTCTGACCTGCACTCCCCTCCCTCGCCCAAATAAAGAGCCTGTTTACATGTGAACCAGTGAATCAATTTACGAAGTATGAGTCCCGGTATGGCACCATAGGGTCAAGGACTGGACCACAAGGTCAGTCTGAAACACAAAATTGACGGTTTGAAATCACCCAGCCGCTCCTTGGAAACCCTGTACAGGTTGGTCGAGTCGGAACCAACTTGACAGCACTTAACAACAGCTCTATAAGATAAGCACTGGACTGTGAAGCACAAGGTTCACAGTTTGAGCCCACCAGTCGCCCCATAG